GACTTATAGTAACTGCCTAATGTGGACTTATCTGTTCACCTGGTGATATGGCAGAAATATATGTGCATTTGAATCCATCATGTGTCATTTGTAAAGACTTAGGGAACAAATTCAAAATATTTATTGGTTTGAAATTTTTTTCAATAATTAATCAAATGATAAACTATAGCTAGTAGTTAATGCAGGATGTCTAAATCAAAGAATGTAATGTTTCAATTCATATCTTTCATGTGTATCATTCTTTTTAGTCTACTATTTTCTTTTACATTTTGGACGTTTACCTATTTTTGTCTTAGTGCCTATCACATACAAATAGTCCTTTACATTTTATTTAATCACAAAAAAGATATTGAAAAATGAATGATGAAGACTGGGGAATTTATTTCTAAAAGAAATAAAGTACTGAGATATTGTTAGAAAAAAATCAGACAAAAATTCTCTTACTTTCACATTTGACCAAAATGGAGACTGAATTTATGTTCTTTACTGCAACAATTAGAAGTATTGGACAAAGTAATAGAAATGGTTCTGAAGACACTGGGCATCAGGGGATGAAGGAAAGTTAGCCTTGAGAAATGGGAAAAAAGGTGAGTCTGCCACTGCTTCAACTTACTGCCTAAAGCTGTTCCCCAGAGAGGGGCACTCAGTAAGAGCCCATTATTCTCAAGGGGTTGAGGAAACAAATTTGAGGAGGCCAAAACAGGTAGAATTTCAGGGCACAGTACTGGAGAAGAGAAAACTGCACAGAAAGAGAACCACTGGAAGCCTGACGAGGGTCCCAACTAAGTAGTCAATTGATTACTAGTCATTGCACATGTGTAAAGAAACTACTCAAGGTTGGGGAAAGACCCACTCAAAAGAGTTAGAGTGAACAACATTTCGAACTCATAAAGGGCTAGGAATAGTATAGTGCCTGTTCTCAACAGCCAGAGCAGAAAAACCTCATAATTCGTGCATCCTTTGGTGGAGAACTGAGAAGGGTTTTGCTTCAGTATTAGGAAACAATTGGACCTAGAGAAAATGTTATTCTAGTTCAATAATGAGAAAAATTAATAAGTAAGTTGAAACTGACCTGGAAATGATCAGATACTAGCACTAGTATAGATAGGATATTAAAACAGTTACTATGATGCTATCCTGGGTATTTAGTGAGTAATGAAAAGATTGAACAGGCTATGTAGCAACAGGGGGAAAAACAAATAAAAGAAAATTAAGTGAAAGAAAATGAAGATTTGATGAGATTAACAGCAGATTAGACAATATGTAAGAAAAGAATAATGAACTCACATACATAGTAATATGCACTTGAAAATGAAACACAGAAAGAAAAAAAGACAAGGAAATTAAAAGAACATCAGTAAACTCTGGGATAATTTCAAGCAGCTAAATATTCATGAAATGGGAGTACCTGAAAAGGAGGGGAACAAAACAAATATTTGAAGAAATAATTTTTAAAACTTTTCTAAATGAGAAAAACTTTTCAATGAGAATTATTAGCCCACAGAGCCAATAAGTTCTACAATTACAAGAAATATGAATTGCTTGAATGAATATAATATGCAAATTGTGTAAAACCTGAGAAAAAGAGCAACTCTTAAAATCAGCCAGATCAGCCTTAATTGGTATGGCTCAGTGGATTTAGTACCAGCCTGCAAACCAAAGGGACACTGGTTTCATTCCCATTGTAGGGCACACGCTTGGGTTGTAGGAACAGGTTCCCAGGCAGGGGCATGAGAGATACAACCACACATTGCTGTTTCTTTCCCTCTCTTTCTCCCTCCCTCCCCTCTCTAAAAATAAATAAATAAAATCTTTTTAAAAAATCAGCCAGATGAGATCAGGCATATTCAGGATGGTATTGATGGACCAAGAGGATATTATGTTAAGAGAAATAAGCCAGTTAGAGAAATATAAATACTATATGATTTCACTTATGTGGAATCTAGTGAACAAAATAAATAAACAAATTAGAAACAGACTCATAGATCCAGAAAACAGACTGACAGTTGTTAGAAGAGAGAGAGGTTGGGGTAATGTGTGAAATAGGTGAAGGGATTAAATTAAAAAAAAAAAAGCAACTCATAGACACAGATAATAGTATGGAGATTTCCAGAGGGAAATTTGAATGGGGGCAGGTAGAAGCGGGTAAAGAGGGGATAAATGGTGATAGAGAGTAGAATTTGGGTGGTGAACACACAATACAATATACAGATGATGTATTATAAAATTGTACTCTTGAGTTATAGAGATTTTATTGACCAATGTAATCCAAATAAATACAATAAAAATATAGTTTTCTTTTTTTATTCTTCTAAAAAAATATGGAATGCTTCATGAATTTGCATGTCATTCTTGTGCAGGGGTCATGCTAATCTTCTCTGTATTGTTTCAATTTTAGTATATGTGCTGCCAAAGCGAGCACAATAAAAATAGTTTTAAAGTTCCAAATAAAAATTATGCAATAAAATATGCTATTTTGTGCCCTGGATAGGGTGACTCAGTTGGAGTGTTGTTCCGTACATCAAAAGTTGTGGTTTCAGTTCCCAGTCAGGGCACATACTGAAGTTGCAAGTTCAATCCCCAGCTGAGGAGCCTATGAGAGGCAACTGATCAATATTTCTCACTCACATTGATGTTTATGTCTCTCTCTCTTTCTCTCTCCCCTTTCTTCTCTCTCTAAAAGCAATAAAAAATTCCACAGGTGAGGAAATAAAGAATAAAAATATGCTATTTTGGGGAAAAAGCAATTGTTAAAAGCTTTTGTTGTTTGTTGTTCTTCATATGGATCTTAACACAAAATCTTTGGACTATCTTTGTTCTCTTCCCAAACATAGTCATATGGCACAAAAATTTTCAAGGTGTGGTTACATACAAGTTTGCCAAATTTCCCACCAACCCTATCCAGTTCATTCTTATATTTATAACATGTGGATCAATATCAGTAAAATTAGCCATGGAAACACATACACACATACACATACACTCAGTCAGAGAAATACAGAGAAACAAAGATAAGGATGACAGATTTCTTATTAGACACAATGCAAGCTAGAAGATAGTGAATCAGTTTTAAAGTGATGAAAGAAAAAAACCCAGAAACCCTGTCAATTTTGAATTTTATACCCAGTGAAAACTTATAGGTAGCCCTTGCTTTGCACAGCAGCATGAGACTGTAAAAATGATCATACAAGCTGTGCAAAGCAATCTTAATAATCATTGGGAAAAAACACCGTTATTTCATGACCTCTAAAATTTTTGACAAAATATTTGAAACTTTCTTAATGTCAGCTATAAATATATAGGAAAATGAAAGTATAAAACAAATATTTAGGACACTGTAATTTAAAACACTAGGAACATTGAGAATTAAAGTGTTTTATTTTTTGTAAAGAAGTTATTAAGAGTAGTGTTAATAGTGCTTGCATTCTTCTTCTTGTCATATAATTTACTATATGGGATGAACATCATTTATCTATCTTGATGAGTTGTCATATTAATTCTAAGTTTAGATCAACTTCTATTATTTTATATTTTATACCTTCAATATTCTTAAATATTTCCAAGTGTTCCTTCAATATGACAATTTTGCTAGTATCACTTCCTCTGGGACATCTTTTTTTTTTATCATTTATGTCAATAGGTTCACATTAACTAAGTTTTTCTTGGTGTATATCTAGAGTCTCCACATTCCCACAGTTAGAAATAAATTTCTTCCATTTATGATCAATTTAAATGGTCATCTTTCCAATATTATCTTTTTTTTTTTTTTTTGGTTTCTTTGCTGTATGTGCAGGTTTTTGGGCCAATTCTTTTCTTTCGTTATCTATTTTTTTTTGGTTATATGTTATGTGTTTTTATCACTAGGAGACAAAGAGGCAGCACAACTACTTGTTATTTAACTAACTGTCAAGAACTGACTGTTTACACAATGATTCATAGAGTGAATAGCTGGTAGCAAAGTTTGTATGTTATGTAGTTATTCATGGTTCATATACATCATTGTAATTGAAATTTAAGCCATGTTGTTGAGGGACTAGTATTATATAAAAAAGTAGTTGTAATTGAAATATGTGTATATTTGAAATGTGCAACATGAGGCTTGCTTGTATTTTAAAAACAAAGGTGAGAAAAGAATGGATGATGGCAGCTGTGTAGGTGGAAGCTGAGCACACTTGACTGTGTACCCTTGCACAGATTTTCAGCTGATCTTTTGACAAGTGACTTCAACAATCAAAAGAATCTCAAGTGATATGAGTTTTTGAAGCCAAGGAGTATGAAAGATGTTTTACACCATCTGGTAAAAGATTTTATAAGCTAAGTGGGCAATGCCCTGTGTGAGATGCCTGCAGCAGAAGAAGGATCAGTTAGAAAACGCAGCTTAGTGGCTCCCTTCCCTCCCAGAGCAGGGCCTTAGTCCCACACAAGGGAACCACCAATCCTAACTGGGAGAGTCTTGGAAGGATATACAAAGTCTGGGAGACTAAGGCTACACCCATACAACAAGCAGGATGTCCATAGCAGTAGTGCCACCCAGGAGAGTTCCGGAGAGAAACTCTATCTAAAACTGTCAGAGGCACTTGGCAGGCCATGGTCAGCCCTGACTGAGAGACAGTTTGTGCTTTGGGGGAAGGTGGAGTGCATGGAGAAATGGCCCAGGGCTCAGAGCTGCAGTAAGGGGCCACATAGTGACTCTTAAAAGAGGAGCTGAGGAGAGACTCAGCAAGGACCCCTCTGCTTGCACATGTGTGTGTGAGTACTGTAGCTCTGCCAAAAAGGAAACCACAGTGAAAGTGCAGTTCAGCCCCACTGAGTCCAGCTACATAGGAAGAATAGAATGAGTCACACTCAAGGGACTGTGAGACCTGAACCAGCATGGCTTACGAGCAAGGGTGTGTGCAGAGTAGAGAGTTCAGGCCTGAGTCTCCTGTGAGAGTTGCAGGCCAGGGACCAGATGGCCAGGAGCTAATGCCTGATGCTCATCAGAGCAAGGCAGGTTCTCTTACAGGCAGGCAGGACCAACCTCCACCTGTGGGATTACAGCCTATGCAGATCAGTGAGGCTGGGCTCAGGAACCCCCTGCTCAGTGCATATCTGTAGGAGAAAGAAGAAGCCCCAAAAGGGTCCCTCCTGAACTTCCTATAAGAACAGATACTACACTTGATCTTAGCCAAAAGGCGGAGAAACGATTCCCTCATGAACTTCTATCAGCCACTACAAGCTTTGCTGGTTCCTCAGGCCCTGATCCCCTGAAACCAGCAGAGCAGAGATATTAGAGACAGGCTTAGCAAAGAGTATTCAAGGCCCCACCCAGCCTTTGTGCTTATACAGAGCTGCCATTAGTGCTAAGTAGGAAAGAGCTGCCCCTTTTACACATGTTGGCCCCTCATAGGAAATGGACAGCTAATTCACCAGAAACCATACTTTATTTGAAATAATCTGGGACAGACTCAAGACATGTGGTGAGGGAGTGGGGAAACACTCTCACCATCTCCTTGAAAACTGAATAGCATCCCCTCGGGGTGATCCAGGGATATCACCCTCCAAATCACACCAGAGGCCCCCTCTGGAGGCAGGTGGAGGTGGTACTGGCAGTGCTGTTCGACATTAGATGAACAACTACTGAGCTTAGTGCTGATGGAAAGCCTGGAGGGCAGAACAGGGGGGACCAACCAAGCCTGGAGTAGACAGCCATAGACTGTGGATCACTTTTAGTCTCCAACAGGATGCCTAGGGCTAGACTAGGACACCACTGGACATTACTGGGTGAATCTAGAAAGAGAAGACAGTGGCAAACACTAGATTCTGCTCAGATGAATTCTACCACAGTCTTCCTCATTATTTGCATTATTTTTCCCTCCTGCATAGCTTTTTAACATTTTTTTCTTTTTCTTTAGGTTTTTTCCTATTCATTATTTTTTATTTTAGCTTATTTCAAATCTCATATTTTATTCCTCCCTCTCTTACTCCATTTTGCCCTCTTCCTTCCCCTTCTTATTTTTAATTTTATATTCTCTTTCTGCGACTTGTTTCTGTTCTGCATTCTTACTATGTCTCCTTTCTCCAACCTTTCAAAACCTTTTTTCTTGCCATTAGTCATCTCACATTAGTTTTCCCATTCTTATAATATCCTAATTCTCACTCCACCTTTATTGATCTTTGCTCATTGGTTGTTGTTATGGTGGTTGTTGCATTTCTTCAATTTTATTCCTAGATATTCACTATTTTTAGATTTCATATTTCAAATTTTACTGTTCCCCTCTTGTACTCCATTTTCCCTTCCTCCTTCCCTTTCCTTTTCTTTTCTTTGTATTAAATTTACTTTCCCCCCCACCCTAGCCTGATTATCATTCCTGACTCTAATTATTTCTTCTCCCCATATCCTCTCAAAAGTATTTTATGTTCCTTTAGACATCTCTTAAGCTTTTTTTTTCTTTTCCTTCTTATTCCCTTTCCACCTGTATTAATCCTTGCTCATTTGTCATTGATGTTGTTGTGGTGAATACTTTTCAATTTTGTTCCTATTTTTTCACTATTTAAAACAAGCTTTTAAAATTTTTTTAATTAATTTATTTTTTCAAATACATTTGTCTCTGCCTTCCCCCCACCACTTTCCCTTGCCCCTCCACCTCCCTCCCTCAATCCTTCCCTTTTGGTTTTGTCCATGAGTCCTTGCTATATGTTCCTTAACATTCCTCTTCCCTTCCTTTTCCCCTGCCCACTGCTCCGTCCTTCCCTCTTGTCTCTGTTGGTTTCTTTTCCTTTCAGTGTTGCCGGTCTTATTTTCTATGCATCTTTGTATTGTTGGTTAGGTTCCACTTATAGGTGAGATTATATGGTATTTGTCTTTTGCCCCCTGGCTTACTTCACTTAGCATAATTCTCTCTAGTTCCATCCATGCTGTCGCGAAGTCTAGTAGTTCTTTTCTTCTTTCTGCTGCGTAGTATTCCATTGTGTATATGTACCATCATTTTTTGATCCAATCATCTATTGATGGGCATTTAGGTTGCTTCCAACACTTGGCTATTGTAAATTGTGCTGCTATGAACAGTGAGGTGCATAGGTTCTTTTGAATTGGTGTTTTGGGATTCTTAGGGTATAGTCCCAGCAGGGGAATTACTGGATCAAAAGGACTTCCATTTTCAGCTTTTTGAGGAAATTCCATACTGCTTTCCACAATGCCTGCACCAGTCTGCATTCCCACCAACAGTGTACTAGGGTTCCCTTTTCTCCACAGCCTCGCCAGCACCTGTTGTTTGTTGACCTGTTTATCATGGCCATTCTGACTGATGTGAGGTGATACCTAATGGTGGTTTTGATCTGCATTTCTCTGATGGCTAGTGATGGTGAGCATCCTTTCAAATGCCTCTGGGCCCTCTGTATCTCCTCCTTGGAAAAGCATCTGCCCAGGTCCTTTGCCCATTTTTTGATTGGATCCTTTGTCTTCTTGGAATGGAGTCGAGTGAGTTCTTTATATATCTTGGAGATCAAACCTCTATCTGATGTATCACTAGCAAATATATTTTCCCATAGGGTTGGCTCCCTTTTCATTTTACTGATGTTTTCTTTAGCTGTGCAGAGCTTCTTATTTTGATGAGGTCCCACTTGTTTATTCTTTCCTTTATGTCCCTTGCTTCAGGAGACATATCAGTGAAAAAATTGCTGCGTGGGATATCTGAGAGGGTCCTACCAATGTTCTCCTCTAGGACTTTGATGGTGTTGTGACTTATATTTAAGTCTTTTATCCATCTTGAGTTTATTTTTGTGTATGATGTCAGCTGAGGATCCAATTTCAATTGTTTGCATGTAGCTGTCCAGCTCTCCCAACAGCATTTGTTGAAGAGGCTATTATGGCTCCATTTTATGCTTCTGCCCACTTTGTCAAACATTAGTTGCCCATAGAGACCTGGGCTTATTTCTGGGCTTTCTATTCTGTTCCCCTGGTCTATGGGTCTGTTCTTGTGCCAGTACCAGATTGTTTTGAGTATAGTGGCTTTGTAGTATAGCTTGATGTCTGGTATTGTGATCCCTTCTACGTTATTTTTCTTTCTCCAATGTGCTGCGGCTATTCAGGTTCGTTTATCGTTCTATATAAATTTTTGAAATGTCTGTTCTATTTCTGTGAAATATGTCATTGGTAATTTAATAGGGATTGTGTTGAATCTTTAAATTGATTTGGGTAGTATGGACATTTTGATGATATTAATTCTTCCAATCCATGAGCACGGTATATGCTTCCATTTATTTGTGTCTTCTTTAATTTGTTTCTTCAAAGTTGTATAGTTTTCTACGCACAGGTCTTTTACCTCTTTGGTTAAATTTATTTCTAGGTACTTTGTTTTTCTTCTTGCTATATCAAATGGTATTTTTTCCTGATTTCTTCTTCTACTTCATTGCTGGTGTACAAAAATGCCTTTGATTTCTGAATATTGACTTCGTATCCTGCTGTTTTGCCAAATTCACTTATTAGATTGAGGAGTTTTTTGGTAAGAGTCTACAGGGTTCTCTATGTACACTATGTGTCATCTACAAACAATGATACTTTACTTTATCCTTTCCTATTTGTTTTTTTTTTATTAATTTATTTACTTTTTAAATACATTTGTCTCTGCCTTCCCCCCCCTCTTTCCCTTGCCCCCTCCCACCTTCCCTCCCTCAGCTCTTCCCCTTTGGTTTTGTCCATGAGTCCTTGCTATATGTTCCTTGACTTTCCCCTTCCCTTCCCTTTCCCTGCCCCCCCTTCCCTCTTGTCTCTGTTGATTTCTTTTCCTTTCAGTGTTGCTGGTCATATTTGCCTTGCTTCTTTGCATTGTTGGTTAGGTTCCGCTTATAGGTAAGATCATATGGTATTTGTCTTTCGCCCCCTGGCTTATTTCGCTTAGCATGATGCTCTCCAGTTCCATCCATGCTGTTGCGAAGTTTAGTACTTCTTTTTTTCTTTCTGCTGCGTAGTGTTCCATTGTGTATATGTACCATAATTTTTTTGATCCAATCATCTACTGATGGGCATTTAGGTTGCCTTTTATTTCTTTGTCTGACCGCTGTGGCTAGGACTTCCAGTACCATGTTGAAAAGAAGCGGTGAAAGTGGACATCCTTGTCCTCTTCCCGATCTTAGTGGGAAAGATTTTAGTTTTTACCCATTGAGTATGATGTTGGCTGGAGGTTTTTCATATATGGCCTTTATTACATTGAGGAATGCCCCATTTATTCCCATTTTGCTGAGTATTTTGATCATAAATGGGTGCTGTACCTTATCAAATGCTTTTTCTGCATCTATCGAGATGATCATGTCGTTTTTGTCCTTTCTTTTATTTTTGTGATGTATTACATTTATTGACTTGCGTATATTGAACCATCCCTGCATCCTGGGGATGAATCCCACTTGATCGTGGTGGATAATCTTTTGAATGTATTGCTGGATGTGGTTTGCCAATATTTGTTAAGGATTTTAGCATCTATGCTCATTAGCAAAATTGGCCTGTAGTTTTCTTTCTTTGTAGGGTCTTTATCTGGTTTTGGGATCAGGGTGGTGCTGGCCTCATAGAAAGAGTCTGGGAGTCTTCCCTCCTCTTGGATTTTTTGGAATAGTCTGAGAAGGACAGGGGTTAGCTCTTCCTAAATGTTTTGTAAAATTCTCCTGTGAAATCATCTGGCCAGGGCTTTTGTGTGCCGGGAGTTTCTTGATGACTGCTTCAATTTCCCCAGCTGTTATTGGTCTGTTCAAGCTTTTTGTTTCTTTCTCCTTCAGTGTTGGAAGATCATACTTTTCTAGAAATTTGTCCATTTCATCAAGGTTTTCAAATTTCTTGGCATATAATTGTTCATAGTAGTTTCTTACAACCCTTTGTATTTCTGTGGTATCCGTTGATATTTCTTCACTTTCATGTCTGATATTATTTATTTGGGTCCGCTCCATTTTTTTCTTGATGAGTCTGCTTAAAGGTTTGTCGATTTTATTTATCTTTTCAAAGAACCAGCTTCTGGATTGGTTGATCCTCTGATTGTTCTTTTCATCTCTATGTCATTCAGTTCTGCTCTCATCTTGACTATTTCCTTCCTTCTATATGCTCTGGGATTTACTTGCTGTTGTTTCTCCAGTTCTTGAAGTTCTTGAAGGTCTGTAGTATTTATTTGAAATGTTTCTATCTTTTTTAGGTAAGCCTGTTTGCTATGAACTTCCCTCTCAGG